ATTATTATCTGTGAAAACATAATTGTATATTTTTTTGTAATTGTATATTTAAATTAGATGTTGAGTAAGACTTCTTTAGAGTTACATTTGTATTCCTTTGTTTAGTGAATGAGTCATTTATAAGTTTGATCTTTAATGTAGGGCTTTTCTAAACGAGTTCCAGAATTTAGCTATAAAATAATTAGACAGCCTCTCTTCCCCTCCCTCCAAAAGAAGAGTGAAAGGTAAGAGTGATGGTAAAGTCCTTTCATAAATCTGACCAATACCAGGCCCTCCACATCGGCAGCCCGACCACCCTGCTCTCCTGGGCTGCTGGGCCACCTGTGGATGTGTCTGTTTTTGCCTTCATAGGGTCCCACCAAGACCTTCTTGGAGCTGCGGAGACTGCTAAGGAAGCCAAGCCTCCAGCTCTTTCTGTAGCAATAGGAAAATCAGGACATGTGATCAGAGGAAAGAAACAGCTGGCAACCATGACCTTTTTCTCATTTGATTTCCTTTCTATTACTTCAGCCAAAGCTGATAATTTTTTTAAATGTACTTATTTATGCACACAGAACCTGGGTACTGGCCAGAGGTGCCTGCAGTGAGAGGATTCACCAGAGACAGAGCTGATCATTCTTTAAGAGCAGGCTGGTAATAAGCCAGGGACCCTCAAAGCAGGGTCTGGTTTTGCCTCCTGTACAGTATAAAACAAAGGAAACAAAGAATTGTAAAGCATCCTGCCTCGTCCCGAGGCTGGCTCAGAAAGGGAACACAGGTGTTTCTGTGATGGTCCAGAAGTGGGCATGAGTTCTAAAAGGACCAGGCAGGAGCCCTGGCACCCTTGTGTCTGAGGTGGCCACGCCGCTGACCCTCTGACGTCCTTCAGGCTGCATGGAAACAAGCCTTTAGAGAGCCTCAAAGTTGAAATATGTTTTAAACTATTTTGTATTCCTCTGTTTCTCATCTATAATAAGCTATCTGTTAGCCTGAGGTATGAAAGTTTAGAGGTCATCAGCCATGAACTCACTGAAACACAAGAAAGCTTCAAAGTCTGCTACTTCAGTCTGAGAACCTGTAGGCCAGGAAGAGCTATTTCCTGATAACCCATCGGCCTCCTGGATTCTGCTTATTGAACTCAGTGAAGTGACTCAGAACAGGAAATCTTGTCTCAAGATGTGCTGACCTTGAGAACAAAGACTAACTACACTGACTGATTGTGTGTGTGTGTTAACATTTATTTATTTAGGTCTACGAAGTACACTGCTGAGGGAAGCAGCAGGAGGGTCAGGAGAGGTCTGCCTTGCCACGTGGGTCACCTCCAGGGCGGGGGTCGAACTCACACTGTAGCAGCTGTGGCTAGCTTCAGTGCTGAGCGTTAGCTTCTGCACCACCAGGGAGGGCCCAACTGATTGTATTTTTGATTTTAGCCTTCCTTGGTGCATCGGCCAAGGATGTGTGCCTCTGTGTGTGTGTGTGTGTGTGTGTGTGTGTGTGTGTTTTTCTTGCCAGTTGCCAAGGTCAGTTTTTACAAGATGCCTGTGATCCCATGCTAGAAATAAAAGAATTTTGTTAAACTTGAATAAATTGGGAAGTGTTTGAAGGATTTATCTATTCCAGTGGAAGACACTAGTCTTGGACTAGAGTGGAAGCTCAGTTTTCCTCTTCAAGCTTAAAGGCAGGTTACATGAGCCACGGTTTTCGTGAGGAAAAATGTTCCAGGTTTCACCGTTGGAAAAAACGAAAAGGTTTATTGTATCTAGGCATTCTGCCAACCCTTGGAGCCCTTTCCCAACATTTCCATATAAGATCTTTCCAACTTACAGACCTGGAAGTGTTCAAAGGGAAGTGGGAGGGGGGAATGGAGGCCAGGAGGCAGGTGTGTGTCACTTTTCCCTTTATACTGACTACAGGATGCTACTGATTTGCAGCCTTACGTGAGTCTTTGGCTTTCTGGAACTTGTATGACTTTGATCCTAGCTTTACAGTGACTTGCAGACAAGGGTGTAGCTCAGGGTTCCTCAACAGAAGCACTTTGGACCAGAGGCTGTATTGCTGCAGGGGCTGCTTGTGAGCACCTCAGGGGAGTGAGCAAGGCTCTGCCCCCACCCACTGGCCGCCTCAAGAACTCACCCCTCTGAGCTCCAACCCAGCCTCACCTCCATGTGACAACCACAAATGTCTGCAGACATTACTGAATATCGTGGTGTGACCCCAGTGTCAGTCAGGCGTATGTGCAGACATCCTCTCTTAAAGAAAGCCACTGCTCTAAATTAAGAATATGCCGAGATAGAGCCCCAAGAAAACATCCAAATTATTACTTTAAAGGAGTAGTTAAGATCTTAACTGTTTCCTTAGTCAAATAAACAATTTCACAGTAAACAAAGTGTTGGCACCATTCTCTTGGGCTTTTTGTGCAGTGATTACGGAGCAAATATTTCATTTCACCATGCTTTGTCTGAAAACAGATTACTACAGTAGGTACTGTGAGAATGCAAGTGGCAGAGCTATCAGATAGATGCCAAGATGCATCTGCTTTAAGATGCACGGAAATTTTTGCTTATTTTTAGTGTATCACAGAAAGAAAGGTACACAGAGCATAAGGGCACTGAATATTCACAACCTGAATACACCATGTAACCAGCAACCGGATCAAGATTACAAGTGCACAGGGCCTCCCTGGTGGCTTAAGAGATTTAAGCGCAGCACTATGAAGCTGTCCGCAGCCACTGCAGCATGCGATCAGTCCCCGCCAGGGAGGTGAGACACATGGCGCGGCAGACCTCTCCTGTCTCCCCAGCTGCTTCCCTCAGCAGTGTATTTCAGTCTGCCTGTTCTGCTCCCCACTCTGTCTCTGGTGGTGAATTCTCTCATCTCTGGCCTACACCCCATCTCTTGTATGTATAAATAAACAAATCTTTTAAAGTTTAAGGTTACAAGTACACTAAAAGCCTCAACTCATCTCCACTGACTTTTCTAGCCACAGCAGCCAGAACCTTGCTCACACTCTACCACACTCTCCCTTGTGGCCTGGCTCTTCCCTTTGCTGGACTCTGCCTGAAGTGCTTCCTCTTTCCACCCCAGTCTCTGTGCAGATACTATATCCCGAATGCCTCCTTTACCTTCAGTCCTAAAATGCTCTCTGCCGCCCTTCAGTTACCTTTCCAACACTTATCAACCTGTTTTTGACCTCCGCAATATCTAAGTATTGAATCTAACTGAAAGTAGATTCAACAAAATGTAATATTTAATATTGTATAAGAAATGGTTCACAGATTGCTACAGCCATTGCTCACCAATCTCTGGAAGCAAAGAGCAGGCAAAGACAGAAAGAGAAGCTATCACAGACCAGGGAAGACTAAGGAGACCTGGACAGCAAGTGCAATGGTGGAGGGTGGGATCCCTGACTGGATGCTGAAACAAAAAAAAGAACATCCACAGGGGAATAGTAAAATCTGAATAAAGTGTGGAACTTAGTTAACTGTGCATTATCTAAACATGCCAATGTTGACTTCTTAGTTTCAACAAATGTACAATGGTTATTTAAGGCATCTTCAGTAAGGAAATCCTACTGTATTTGCAACTTTTGTATAAATCTAAAATCATTCCTCAACTTAACAATCTAATATTTAAAATAAGTAAATTCATGAAATTAAATAGCTCTGTTTTCGTGATATTAGCAATTGAGTGAGTATATAGTTTTAAGGTTTATTTATTTATACATACAAAAACTGGGGTACGGGCCAGAGATAGGGGAGGGATGAGAGGACTCACCAGAGACAGAGTGGGGAGCAGAACAGACAGACTGACTGAAATACACTGCTCAGGGGAGCAGTAGGCCAAACTGGAGAGGTCTGCTGCCCCTCTCCCTGGCCAGAAATGGAACTGGGGTTGCCGTTGCCGTTGCCGTGGGGGCTGATAGCTTCTTAATGGTGCACTTTAACCCCTTGTACCACCAGGGAGGCCCCTGAGTGTTTTTTTATGAAAGCTATTAAGACAGTAGTGAAAAAGGCAAACTTCATTTTCTATATCCCTAAGTGAACAATATCATAGTTAGAATCTCACTACTCAAGAACCTTTAACTTCAGCATCATCTCTGAAAGTGAATTAGAAATGCAAAGTATTTAAGTATGCAAAGGATTCTGGTCTTACTGAATTGAATTTTTTTGTTTGTTTGTTTTTTAATCAGGATCTCAATGAACAAAATGCTCATTAAATAAGTTTAAGAAACACTGTTTATAACCACATGACTGTCTAACTTTCTGAAAAAATACCACCGAGGATGTTCATTCTAATATAAATCAATGAAGATAACACTTATGAAGAACTTACAGTGTAGTGAAGGACTAAATATTGTTCCGTTTTTTCCCTATATCTGAGTGAAACGCATGATATTTGGCCAGAATGATATAATATTTATCACATTTAAACCTTGTCCTGGACCCAGTAAGATTCTAGAAAAGAATTAAAATGGTAAATATTGGACCTAGCCAATCCCTCAACATTCCCTGTCCAAAGTAAAGAGACAGGTAGTAAGCAGACTGGACAAGAAATACATCACATTTTCACTGTGTCTCCTTGCAAGGCAAAGCTGTTAAGCCTTGGGTCTAGTCTCCAGTGTTTCCTGTGAAGTTGTCCCCCAGAGAGCACAAAAGGCGAGGTTATCCGATATTCAGCATTGCGTCCTCATGTTTTTCATACCCTTCTCCCTCCGAAAATAAATTTTGGAAGCACCACTGTGAGATACCTGAGAAACAGATCTCAGCCCATTACTAGCTTGGTAAATTCATCCCCCAGGTGAACTGTAGCTACATTCCTCTGGCCCTGGTTGTCAGTTGGAGGCAAAGGGGAAAATTAAAATTTGCTTCCTTTTAGCAAAAAAAAAAGATAGTACTGGTGGTTAAACTTTTTTTCCTACTGTCTATAATATCCTAGAGAATAGGTTTTACATTAACAAAATAGCTAAACTGAATTAATTGAGTGATACATTTTATAAAACAACAAATCACTTTATTTTCTAGATTTCTTTTGCCTTTGGAAGCGGACTCCACTTAGAGGTAAGAAACCCAAGGGGATTATTTTTGTCTTTTTGAATGAGAAGCTAAATTTCATAGAAAACAATTTGTGCCTCACCAAATTAAAAACAGAATTCTTGAGCCCAGTTATTCCCATCAAATAGTGCACAAGAACATATATCCAAAGATGGTTAGTGATGCATGGTTTGACCATCTAAAAGTCCATCTCTAGGGGATGATAAAACAATTTATGGCACTTGGAAGCATGACCATGATGAAGTACTGAATGAAAAATCAAGAGGCAGAATGAAATGCATACACTGTAATCCCAGTTTAATGGAAAAAGACCAAAGTTTAAGTTATAGAAAGTTATTTCTCAACTAAAAACAAAGAAAATTGATGACCTGGAACTAACCATTGTAACTGTTTTGAAATAACATACATGGTATATAGATTAACAAAATGAGTAAGATGATAAAGTAATGTACTGGTCATTTCGAAGCACAACACAGTGAAACATCTATATTGAGTGAGACTTTTCCTTGGATAAAATACATATTTATCTGTTACCCTAACTGATAATTTATGAAATAGTTTTCTGCTTAAAGGTTCTAAAAACAAGATAGGAAAGATAGGCAGTTTAGTCCTTTGTTCATCTTTAAGACAATAAAGTCATTACCAGACAGTAGCACTAGTTTTAGACAAATTGGTTATCAACAGGTTAAGATTAAGCTTTAAAGCATTTTAAGAAAACTGCATTTGCAATTAATAAAAACATAATGAATAGACATGGTATATGTTATTTTTAAATTCCCCATTTTTGAGGTCAGTGAATGTTCCTTAGTCTTTTTAACTCTTATTCTGGGAAATTTTTTCTTACTAGTGATAACAAACCTCTCCTGCTTCACTGGTTTAGAGGCAGTCTCTTCAATGCCTGAAGAGTTTGCTAGAACATATGCATGTATATAAAAGAAACCTGTAAAGAATAAGAAATGTATTTCATTTAGCTGTGTTTAAAATTTTAGTAAGCTATAGTTTACCATCTATTGCTTTAGGATACTTGATAATTTTTTGACAATATTTTATCTTTATAGGTTTTGAACAAAAGAAATGAAAATAAGCTGCTTCCTAGACACACTCACCTAGTACGGCAGAAACGGGCCTGGATCACAGCACCCGTGACTCTTCGGGAGGGTGAAGATCTGTCCAGAAAGAATCCGATTGCTAAGGTGTGCATGTTACTAAAACAGGAACAGGAAATGTGTGCATGTTACTAAAACAAGGTGTAAGAGAACACTTAAGGGAAATTATACTGTGGATTTCATGAGCCTTTGACATTCCAGATAAATTGAACATCAGCATAATTTTTAGCAGAAGGTACCAAGATGAAGATCTTCTTTTCCATTCTGGAAGATGTAGGGTCATCGGCAAATTAACTGTATATATATCGGCACTCGACCTTCCATCTACCTAGAATCCTCTCCCCACAGAACATCGGTGCAGAACTTCATAGCCCCAAGTTTCTGCTCCAGTGTCACTGGTTTATCCCATCGCCTTCCATCCCCTTTCAGGTTGCTTGGTAACGCATTCCACTCCCAAACACTGAACATTATGTTGGACACTATCTTATCTGGCACCCTCCTCAGAGTGCAAGCTCCTGAGGGTTTAGTCGATAGGATTCTCAGCATTAGAGGAAAATCTCCCATTAAAAATAATTTCTTAAAAGTTGCAGTTTTAGGCCCTCCCTGGTGGCGCAGCAGGTTAAAGCACAGCACTGAGAAGCTAAAGCCATTTCCGCATGAGTTCGATTTCCACCTGCCCTGGAGGTGACCACATGGCGAGGCAGACCTCTCCTGACCCGCCCGCTGCTCCCCTCAGCAGTGTACTTGGTCAATCTGCCTGTTCTGCTCCCCACTCTGTCCCTGGTGAAGCCTCTCACCCTCCGCATCTCTGGCCTATAACCCAGTTCTGTATGAATAAAATAAATAAATCTTAAAAAAAAAAAAAGTTGCAGTTTTAACTTAAATATTCCTCTGTTATTTTTATGTTAGATACATTCTGATGTGGAAGAAGAAAAACGCCTAAAAGTTACATACAAATACACTGGAAAAGGAATTACAGAGCCACCTTATGGTTTATTTGTCTTTAATAAAGACACTGGAGATTTGAACATTACCAGGATTATTGATAGAGAAGAAACACCTTATTTTCTGGTAAGAATGAACTTATATTTATTGATTTGTCATATTTTGGGGGGAGGGGATAATAGTCATAATTGTTTTCTTGTTTGGATACTATGGTGGTTTAATTACCCTAGCTTCAGTCTCTTCTATTATTTATGTCATGATTTCAGCTCACTGGTTACGCTTTGGATAACCAAGGAAACAACCTGGAGAAACCACTAGAACTCCGCATTAGAGTACTTGATATCAATGACAATGAGCCAGTATTCACACAGGAGGTCTTCATTGGTTATGTTGAAGAATTGAGTGCTGCACGTAAGAGTCTTAGTATTTTTATGAATGATTGTTCAAAGTCATTTTATCCCCATTATGTAAGTGAACATTAAATCCTATATCTAAATGGAGTCTAAGTAATTACTATTATTCTGGGTTTGGAACTGCTTTTTTTGTGCTAAGTTCCAGAGACATGTGTTTTTTTTTTTCCCCTGACGACCAAATAGGATGGATTGATATGCTAGGTTGAGTCTCTCTGACAACCACTGAACTCTGCCCTCTAACAGGAATGCTGCCATAGACAATATTTAAGCAAACAGATGTGTGTTCCAGTAAAACTTTATTGACATAAACAGGTGACTGGTTAACTTTAGCCAAGTCAGATTGCTGACCTTTGACTTGCATTATTTCTGCTATCAGTTTTATTGACAAATTGTTCAATGTAGTGCCCTTTATCCAGACTGGCAGGAGAGATTTCTCTTTGATCATAATATAAAAATGATGTCTCCTAAATTGTTTGTATTTTCATAAGTATGTGTTTGTAGCTACTCATTCTCTTTGTGTTGGCTGTTAGACCTATTACAAATTCTTAGCCCTCTATAGCAAGTTTTTAGGATTTCACCCTAGGCTTGTATATAATAACAAAGACCTTGCCCTTATCTTCTTTTTCCCATTACTGTATTCCATTTACACCTATTTCCTCATTTGGTTAATTTTTTTGATCTTGGTAGCTGGGATTTTTTTTTTTTTAAAGATTTATTTATTTATTTGTGCATACAGAACTGGGGTACAGGTCAGAGGCTCGGGGGCAGTGAGAGGCTTCACCAGAGACAGAGTGGGGAGCAGGACAGGCAGATTGACGAAGTACACTGCTGAGGGAAGCAGCGGGCGGGTCAGGAGAGGTCTGGCTCGCCCCGGGGCAGGCGGCAGGCGGGGATCGAACTCATGCGGAAGTGGCTTCAGATTCTCAGTGCTGTGCTTTAACCCGCTGCGCCACCAGGGAGGGCCCGGTAGCTGGGATTTTGATAAATACATGAAATTCTTTTTGGAGCAAGCTAAAATTAGAAATAAAATGATGACCTGACACATACAAGAATGCTGAAAGCTGAGTTTCAACTGGGCACTCTTGTTTCTAATAGGTACTTTTGTGATGAAAATCACCGCAACTGATGCAGATGAGCCCAATACTCGAAATTCTGAAATTTCTTATAGAATCCTATCTCAGCAACCTGCGTTTGCATTCCACCTAGATAAAAGTACAGGAGAGATCTATACCACCATTAATTCCTTGGACAGAGAGGTAAATACCATTTTGTGTTACTCATCTTTTAAATCCTCTTCTTTCCAATTTCTCCTCTTTCTTTACTTCTTTTTTTAACTTTCCAACTTTGTTCTATTTCCTCACTAATAGTGACTCTTAGAATTATCTCTCTTAAGGATATGCTGTTCCTTATGGTAGCCATGAGTCATATGTAGCCATTGAGCACAGGACATGTGATTAATCCACATCGAGATATACTATATGTATAAAATAGTCACCAGGATGGGAGGAGTTAGTATGAGAGAAAAAGGACACAAAATATCACCATAATAATTTTTGTTGATTATTTATTGAAATAATATTTTGGACACTAGGGTTAAATAAAACTATTTGTTTAAAATTAGTAGCATCTGTTCTTTTTACCTTTTTAAAGTGGCTGCTAGAAATTTTTAAATTACACAAGGACAGCACTGTTCTAGAGCCTCTCCAGTCAGGGTTCTGTTTGCTACAGAATTCTAAAGCAGTGTTCCTTAATTTGGGGTTCTATAGTGAAATATTGGGAGCCCTCTCTACTGTAATAGACAAAGAGGGGGAAAAATAGAAATAGGAGTCATACGTAGGGTAATAGAATTATTGGTAAAGGAAAGAGTCATTGTAAACCTCAGAGGAAAAGTTAAGTAGGTTTCCTAGAAAAGCTGTTCTTGCAAACATTTCACTTTTATTTCTAACTCCAAAGGGAAGTTTTAAATGAAAAGGGAGAGGGAAGTTTTTTTCATGTATATATTTCCATGCATGCTACATACATGCGTAACAGTGTATATGAGTGGAATGTTGATGATTCCAAGGACACTGTCACCACATATAAGTCATCATTGGTGGACGCAGTAAATCAGAATTATTAGGAAAAACGATTGACTCTGCCCAGATTGTGCCCAACATTTCTAACTATTAACAATTAAGAGTCCTGTTAAACTTTTAAAATTCTGCTCTATACCTCACATAAAATTTAGAGCATTATTTTGAAGATGTAGTGTGATTTTGTTAACAAGCTGCTGACAATAAAGTATGACAAATTTAGTTAATAGTCAGGACTGTCATTATTGGCTGTTCACTGCATGTCATATATTACTTGTAACCTTTTACATAATTAACCCATTTAATCTACCTAGAAACCCTGTGAGGCAGAGCTCATTGCTAGTCCTTTTTTTTTTAAAGATTTATTTATTTATGCATACAGAACTGGGGTACAGACCAGAAGTGCAGGGGTGGTGAGAGGATTCACCAGAGACAGAGTAGGGAGCAGGATAGGCAGATCGATGAAGTACACTGCTGAGGGGAGCAGCGGGCAGGTCAGGAGAGGTCTGCCGCGTCATGTAGGTCTGTGGGTCACCTGTGGGGCAGGCGGGAATCGAACTCATGCTGAAGTGGCTTTAACTTCTCAGTGCTGTGCTTTAACCCACTACACCACCAGCTTACTAGTCCTTTTTTACAAAAAGGAAACTGAGTCACAGAGGGATTACGTGTATGTTCAAAATGGCCAGCAAGTGACAAAGCTGGGATTGACCCCAGTCAGCGGGCTCCAAAACCTGGACAGTCCTGCCAGCCCTGAGCCGGTCATCCCCACACAGGACCCCTGGGCACGGGCACTGGCTGCCCAGCTCCTTCAATTCCAACAACACTGCATGGGGCCGTTATAAGGGGATCTTGCAGAAATGGAGGGTTCTCTTGCGGTGGGGAGGTCTTTTTTTTTTTTTTTTATAATGTCAGTTTTAAGACATTATTTTCTAAGAATTCTGTCTATTGGGGTTTTGGGCAAAGTTCACTGAGTTTTATCATTACTAGCCAAATTTTCTTGGAAATAATGTTTTCCTGCTTTGACCTTTAGCTGAAAATGGAATGTGAAGAGCGGCAGTTCCTCTGACCCACCATCTCACTTTGTCCAGCAAAGTGCATGTTGAACAGCAGTCTTGTGCAGAGACAGGTTTAAGAAGAGACTCACTCCTGTTAACATCACCAATGACATATTTAAAACTCTGGTCATTAACAACTTCTCTTGCCTTTTCTGTCCACAGATAAACAGCATCTTCACACAAATAATAACAGATTGTGAAAATTACTTATGAGCTAAATACACTGTGGTCATTCCCGTGGTGATAAAGTGAATGAAATCAGAAAAACAGACTTAAAAGGGATTCATTTTCACCCCAGTTGGCTATTTTTTATTATCTGCAGGAACACAGCAGCTACAGTTTGACGGTAGATGCAAGAAACGAGAATGTACAAATAACGGATAGACCAGCAAAACAAGCTACAGTTCAGATTCGTATTTTGGACGTCAATGACAATATACCTATAATCCAAAGTGAAGCGGTAACTATTACTTTTATAAACTTTTATAACAAGTTATCGACTTGTTCATATTTTAGTCCTAACTGATAATAGATCACTTATGTTTATACTACATTAAAATAAAAATCTGTTTGTGTTTACAGTTTGAAGGGGTCGTTGAAGAAAACCAAGTCAATGTAGAAGTTATACGCATAAAAGTGTCTGATGCAGATGAAATTGGCTCTGATAATTGGTTAGCAAATTTTACATTTGTGTCAGGAAATGAAAAGGGTTATTTCCGCATAGAAACTGATGCTGAAACTAATGAAGGAGTTGTGACCCTTATTAAGGTAAGTGCTAATGTTCAAAACTGGAATGGAAGAAATTGGTAAAGGAGGAAACTGTTATATTTTGAGCCCCAAACACTGGCAAGAAGTTTACATACTCAGCTTACTGGCACAATAATTGGTTCAGCCTATTTGCCTGAGTTCTGTGGCTTGTTAGTGCTCACACTACAGTTCAAATTCAGGCCAGGCATCACTAAGCCATGCCAGACTGCATGACAACAGCATCGTTAGTGCAAACATACTTCCAGTCTTGTTTCTGTCGGACCTGTTGCCTCTCTAAGTACCCCCCAACTTACTACCACCTAATGGGTCGACGTAACAGTAAAGCCAAAACTAATTGATAACATCTAATAACTAAAGCTGTAACAGCATGATAAAGGTCTAATTCAGTTATCCTCATACGTAAGTGTACCTAAGAAATGCCTGGACCTGCTGCTACATGCCAAAAATGAAGGTTCCTGGGGCCCTATCTTCAATCATTCTGATTGGATGAGGCTCAGGAACGTGACTTTATAACAAAAATGCACTTGTGACTCTGATCTAAGTACTCAAAGAGTGGCCTTTGAAATTGCAGCATTTTAATTGCTTTTGCTTAATTAAATCAGTGAAGGAGAGGTTAAGTTAAATGGTCTTATTAAGTATATGGGTCTTCTACACTGGAACTCACAAGCACCGCAGAATGTTATAAACAAAAATCATGTAATAGATTTTTTATCTGACATTGTAAGGAAGATTATCAACCTATTTTTAAATGGTTTATGATAAAATTCACTTGTCAGATTTTAAAGTATAAACTAACCATTTTCAAAATACTATTTCATTAAGTCATACACAAACTAAAACTTTTTTACAAGAACCTATTAATTATGGCAGAGTAGGTGAAATCTTAACAGCAGAAAGGAATAATGATAATATAAATGTGTAACAGAATAGAGAAAGGTTAACTGTTTAGTCATCGATTATAGGCTCAATCCTGCTAAAAAAAAAAAATTTAAATATAAATCCAGTAACACACATAAAGAGAAACAGTCATTTCATGATGAATGACAGACACATTGAAGAAGTAGCCTCAGTGTCCCATGGTGTCACCCCAAAAAGGTCGCACCTTTTTTCTTTCAAGAGGAACATGAACAAAAACTGTTAAAATTATTATCACAATGGAAGTACAGATTAAGAAACTGATGATTTTTACTCTCTTGGTTCTATAAAGAATTCATCCAAATTAGAAGGGCAGTAATCAGATTTCACTGAAAGAAAGCTAGACAAAAAAGATATATAAATAGCAAAGTCAGAAGAATACTCAGCACCCTTAGTTATTAGAGAAAATGCAAATTAAAACTGCATAAGATACCAGTACACACCTATTAAATCAGCTATATGCAGAAGTCCAACCGTACCAAGACAAGAATATAGAGAAAATGGAACTGGTGGAAACCAAATGACATAGCTAGTTTGACAGTTTTTCTAAAAGTTAAACCTAAATTAGTTACCCACTTGACAAAGATTTAAATTACACAGTATCAAGTATTGGAAAACTCAGCGCTGCTATATTTCTCACGTGTTAGATTATATATAATATTAAAACCACCCTGTGTGTGTGTGTTCAGTGTGTTCTACTCTCTCTTTTGAATAATTCTGATTGATTTTGTCTCTCTAGGAAGTAAATTATGAAGAAATTAAGCATCTCGACTTCAGTGTTATTGTCACCAACAAAGCAGCTTTCCACAAGTCAGTTATAAATACATATAAACCTGTACCCATTCCCATCAAAGTAAAGGTGAAAAATGTGAAAGAAGGCTTTCGTTTAAAAAGCAGCACAATCTCGGTTCAAGTTAGCGAGGGCATGGATATATCAAGCCAAAGCAAAGTAATTGGAAAATTTCAAGCTTTTGACGAAGATACTGGGCAGGTCGCCCGAGTAAGGTAAAATAAAGTTGTGAATATATTTCCTCACTTTTAATTACTTGTCCTGCCTATTTCAAAAATCATAATAAAATTTGTACACTTAATGCCTTCAAATTCAGCATTAAAGTTTCCTAACCGTCTGTGTTAGAAACCAGTTAACTCAATAAAAAAAGTTTTTAAGTTTAAATACTAAGATAGTTTCAAAAACTAAAAATATTCCACTAATGCCTATAACAAGAACATATATAATAAAGCAAAATTGGAATTTAAAAAGATATGAAGAAGTCTCAATTTATCCAGAATTCACAATTAATCTTATGTTTCTTTTATAATAGCTATTCCAAACTGGAAGATATAGACAACTGGATATCTATAGATTCTGTCACATCTGAAATTAGACTTATAAAAATTCCTGATTATGAATCTAGATATGTCCAAAATGGTACATACACTGTAAAGATTTTGGTTGTATCAGAAGGTGAGTTATTAAATGGAAATTTTTCTTGATTATTTATGTGTAGATATTATTTTCCATCATTGGAGAATTTTTGATGTTGTAGAATAAACAAATTTCTTTAATGGTTAAACCTTCACATTTCTATTTATTTAATGGATTAAAAGGCAGTACTTGATCTGGATATGAAAACATATCTAGAATAGGAAGTATCCCAATTTGTTTGTTTGTT